CTGAATAGTTAATGGAATCAGTTCTTCCTCTTGTCACGCTACTTCGGAATGAGACTATTCATTCCATTGATTTTTCAGTTGAAGAAAGCAGTTGCCCGATTCCTAGCATGCGGCCCGGCGGACGGCGGCGGGTTAATTTGTCTCAGATCGTCAACATTTGTCGCCGTCGCCAATCAACAAGCTGGTTGATTAAGGTTCTGATCAACCAGAAGTTGACAGGGATAACACTGGCACCTGGAAACTTCTTCGAATATGTGCAGATTTTGTTCAAATTTCGGATAAATGAAAAAGGAGAACTTATACTCATCGCTGAAGGAATTAAGGAAAAGAATATTGACATAATTCTCCGTCTCAGGTTCTTTCTCTGAGTCCTGGGTTCTATGGGTTGAATCAGTTGATTATTGTTTTTACCATAATTATTTAGTTGACTTATATCGGTTTTTACCATAATTATTATTATTTTTTTTCGATTTACAGTAATATTGGATTTTTGTTGGGAAGGAATATCATTTGGAGTAGAAGAAAATATGCTCTAATTGCAGATGCACTTGTGGAATCTTCAATGAATATGCAGCAAATGAGGTACCTGATATATATTTAATTTTCTCTATATTGGGTAGTTTTTTTCCCCTTGGTACTTACGGGTTAAGCTGGAAAATTTATTGAGTAGACAAAAGGACAGCAAAGCAGAGACAGCTCCAGAATCCCAGCAGATAGAAGCTAAAGACAGCTCAAAGAAATGGTATTTTTGGCTAAACTTACAAGTTGAACGTGCTTTTAAGTGAATTTTTATTCAAAACATGCTCAAATATGTGTTTTCTTATCGAAAAAAGTTATTTAATTTAGCTGTAAGGCAGGGATTACTTTCAAAATGGTAAAAGTTATTGTTTCTGTGGTCTTGCATCCTATGATGCTATTGATGTCTGCCTTCTATTTAGGGTGCGTAACATGTGCGGAGATGCCTCTGTGGTCCCTGAGGCCACAGTTAATGTTGGGGCAAACAAGTCCCACA